ATAAATAAATACATATAAGATTTACACAGAGCAAAAATCTCAAAAATCTTGAACTATTGCTTCTACCAAAAAATAGCAGATATTCAGAATTCATACTAGAAGCTAGAAGAGTTCTCTCAAATTGACTATCTCCGTGGCCGAGTATGTATGTACGCCTAGTGACAAGGTGCCAAAATTTAATTGTGATGAGATGAATGCGAGCATACCTAAGTCATGAATGTGATATATTCACATTTCTAGATATAGATACATAATACTTATATAATATGTATCAGTATTTATGTATACTATCCCTTACCCTAGTATCCCATAACACAAGCCTCGGGGCTTACCTTGGCTAATTACTAGGCTAATTGGTGTGTGTTAGAATTATTATTTTTATTTATTGTTATTAGAAGTTATATTTATTTTATTATTTAAATAACAGGTAGACCTTAGTGTCTACTATGGCTCACCTTCATAGCCAACGGGGTGATCCATATTTTGTAATCTGCCTCCAACTTGTTCTGTACAGTTTTCATCTTAAGCAGGGCGTCGGAATCAACGACGACAACGCCCCAGGTGCGACGGGTGATCTCTGCTACACCATTCATGTTGTTGATAAAGATAGACTTCTTTAGGAAAGCATCCGCTGCATTCACTACAACTGATCAAATAATATAAGAGAATGATGGTATAATTCTTGTGCTCTTTTCTATATATAAGTACTATTGTAAATGTGAATGTTTGTATTTGTAATAGCTAATAGAGTATTTTTCACTCAATCACACAAAACGGCTGAATGTATGTGGATGAAATTGCACACATTTATTAATTATCTGGATTGAGACATAGTTTTCTTTCTATCCCAGATAAAACCTTAGGTTCCTGTGGGATTCTTGAAAAAAATACTATAAAGCATACATAGTCACAGGCGAAAGCTCGTCTAGAAAAAATATTATGATCATAAAGTACTAACAGAAAACGAACTTTCAGATGTTAATGTAATGTTAGTTTGTTTATCTATTAATTATGATTGCTTTTTCAAAATCTATTTAGGATATAAACAAGAGTTCACAGATAAGTATAAAAATTTTACTACAAACCATTGCTAGTATCAGTAATTTTTTGGAAGAGCTCTAGCCAGTTGTCTTCTTCACCTTCATCACATAATACAAGTATTGGTTTGTCAAGTTTGTGCTTAATAGCACCCAGAAATAAAGTAACTTGCAGTGAGTTTTCATAGCCAAGTGGGTTATTCAAAATAACACCTGGATTTTCCTGTAAAATTTTAACACATTGGTGAAATATTGTACCATATGATTAATCTTTTAATAGAACTATCTAATTAACAATTAAATTAGATGATCAAGATTGCAACACTATCATGCATACTAGCACAATGATTATTATGTGGTTTTTTAAAACTACGCAACATTTTATATAGATCAATATAATAGAAAAGATCATTCATTTTAACATATTGTAGGAGTGCTTCAAATATATTATTGTATCCTTTTCAGATCACAAGATTTTGTTGCTGATTGTCTCAAAATAATTTCATTAAATGAATAATCAAAACCGTTTATTTATCATATACATCCTAATATAAGAGCAGATAAATCCACTCAGAGTTAGTAAGAACTTTGAAGCTAATGAAGAGAGTGTGGTCTGCAAAACACAACTTACATTTTTAAACTGTTTATAGAGAAATCTGATTCCATCAATATGGTGCTGTTGTAGAGAAGACTCAACATATATATCTTCATTTGCATCTTTACCTCTGTATAAATACAGCTTTTCACAAGTTGGCCTAGTATTCTGAGTGTGAGCCATCTTTGTTGTTTGAAAGGACCTGAAAATTAGTAATATCACAACATTTTTACTTTTTATGGACTTGAACCAAGAGTCCAGCCCTTCCATAGTGATAGTCTGACCATTTTTTTTTATATCTAAGTAGGTGCATCAGATAATGGATTAGCAAGGATGATATATTAATTTTTTTTTAAACAGTTTTAAAGGTAAACTTTTATTACATCACTAAATTTTTTTGTTCTTATTTAGCAAATCACATAATATTTGATTGTTATTAAAAAAAATATCCAACAACAAGCATCAGTGGTTCAGTGGTAAAAAGCTCTCATAATATGCAGGCTGGCCAGGTTCAAGCCTATTGCATGCACTATTTTGATTAATAATTTTAAATCTCACATACATAGTGGTTTCAAAAAACCCAGTTTTTTTCTACTTTTCTTGTAATATAATCCATAAAAATAATAATACCCAGTTTCACTGAGTCTGAAATTTATGGCAATGCTAATCTGAATATGCTCAAAAGAGTGGCATGACTAATGTACTTAGGTTACTTTGAACAGAATGCAATTAATATAAAATCTAATTAAGGCAAACTATAAAATTTTTTGGGCTAGTATTTCTAGAAAATAACAGATTAGACAATAAAATAGTAAAGGTTACAAGTTTTAACCTGAAACAATTAACCAACCTATTGTTAGTTACTTTAACTGGAGGACTTGTTAATGAATATATCTGTAAAATAGTGTTTTGTACCTGTATTCAAAATGCAGAGCCTGTCTCTACGAAGGCAAATTCTGATTCAACCTGTTGAGTATGGATAGTGTCATAATCAGAATATAGAGCATTTCCAGATAAAATAAAGCTACAAAAACTGATACACTTGTTTTATGTACTTCAATATCCTCAAACTCCTGCATAATATGTCGATTTCGATAAACATGATCCCAAAACATGGAAACAATTTAGATAAACACAAAATTTTATTTTAAACTTTTGTTATTTAGCTGCATAAATTATAGAATACAGTCGAGGTTAAATTGAGTTATGGTATTTAGATTCCATTTATGCTAATTCACGTATTTCTATTCAATTCTTCACACAAAAACAGAACAATCTTTGATGCGGAATAACAAAAATCCGATTTATTTGAAAATGTAGTTAAAAAGCCATAGAGGTAGCCTAGGTAGCGGTGAAAAAACGCCTCGCTGCCAAAACGTCTGTATTTTGTCGTATTATAGTTAACTGACATGTCAAGTGAACCGCAATGTCAGTGTTGACACTTTTGTTCTTAAATTAACTTTGAGAAGGCAAAAGATTCGAATTCCATATAGCCATAACCTACTTTTTTATAAAGTTACGTTTATAAGAAACTAGTGTTGCCGAACGATAGTCGATTATCGATGATTAATCGATAGCCAACCAATCGTATGAGAATCGATCGGCTTATCGATAGCACAGAAAAAGCCAATACTATCGGATGAGTTTTAACTCATATTTTACGTTATTAATGAACTACCTGCTGAACTATCTGCTATCGAAAGTATTTATACTATCGATAGCATTGTAGTTCATTAATAACAAACTATAGATAGTATCGATTTTATTTGCAACAATACTATAGATAGTTTAACAATTTGTAATAGTATTGTTTACAATTTTCAGGTATTATAGTCAATTGCAAACTTTAGTCTAAAAAAATCGCTAGTATTGATACTATCTATAGTATTGTTGCAGACAAAATCAACACTATCAATAGTTTCTTATTAACGAACTACAATAGTATCGATAGTACCTATAGTATTGCACTCATTCGATAGTATTGCCTTGTTTTGAGCTATCAAGTTTCGATACTATCGGTTGTATCAATTCTATCGATAGGGTACATGATTTTCGATGTAAACTGTCGATAGTTTTAATATCGATATTTCGGCAACACTATAAGAAACTGTAGTTTATTAAAGTTATCCTGCCCTTTTCAAAAATATAAGAATATCCATATTCTATAAAAGAAATCTCCTCGAATTCCTATTTAAAGAAATATATAGGGTGAAATTGAACGTTCCAATGAAACTTCGTGAGATTGTTGGGTTACATGTATAGAGTATGCCTGATTTTTTTCGGAATTTTTGAAGTATATTTTTTTCATGTATTTATTTAAAATTTGTGTATTTTTATGTCCTTTCCTCCTTTTGAGTAGTTATTCATTTTAAACAAACAAACTTACATATCCAGTGAAAAATAACTAATAAATAAGCACTTTTAAAAAATGGAAAAACATTAAAATTCCACCGTGGGTCAACGACCGACCGCGCCCGCCAGCCGTTGAGTGAGTAGGTACCTCTACACAGAGTTCAGCTGACTCCTTTGATTCCACACAATACAATAAAGTCGTCTTATGCCTTTATTGAAATAATAAGCACAAATGTCATCTTCTCTTAAGCAGAGAAAAACTTTAAAAGTTAATAATAATTTTGTCACGATTAGAAATAGGCAAATGTTAAACAAAAAGAAATACTTATTGCAGTTCAATACTTGGGTCAGAATAAAATTTATAACCAGGTATTCAAAAGTACTTACGAGACCGATGAACCTATTCATTTTTTTCACTTTAACTTCCCGTATACACTTTGTAAACACAATCAATCACTAAACCTACTTTCGTAAAGCCTTGTGGCTCTGCTGAATATTCCGTGACACTACAATAACAACACACCATATCTAACTTCTTATATTGAGGCCACAGATCAAGAACTAATCAAGGCATTATTTGCAAATCTTCTCTTGTCACAAATTTAAAAAATATGCACGCGCGGTTTATAAACTTGACATTGCGCTCGCTCACTGCGCTTTGCAGGTATTCAACGCATAGGTAGGTATTCAACCGATTCAACGGGCGGGAGCGGTCGTTGCTCCCGGCCGCTCGTCTTCTGTTTTTACGTTTTTTTTAGTAGTGCTTATTAGTTGTTTTTTACTTACTCTGTATGCGTGTTTAAAAAGAATAATTATTTAGTACCCAAAAGGAGGAAAGGACTTAAAATATAACAAAAAAAAAGGAATTTTATTTTAAATCATTTTTAAAAAATCCGAAAAAATTCAGAGATACACTATATACGTAACCCAACAATCCCAAAAAGTTTCATTAAAACATTCAATTTCACCCTGTATAAGCACTTAAAATTCAAAAGATAGAGTGGAAAGAAAAAAAGTCAATAATAAATTGTATATTTTTTGTAATATAACAACATGATCCATTCATACATAACAATACAAAAGTGGAATATAAAGTATTGCACTTTTCCTTAGACTCTATAAAACGGTGTAAAAAAACTTATTCGTTTTTGAAGTTAGGCGGTCTCTTCTCAATAAAGGCAGTCATCCCTTCCTTACGGTCCTCCTGTAAATTAAAAAGGGATTGGTATACATTTAATTTTTTTTATATATATCGCACTAATATTACAACAGTGTCGTAACTCAAAAAATGTCGAATTTGAGATAACACCATATTTAAACGCTGGATGCGATTCCGCACAAGGCAATAAAACCGTCGTTGAAATAATGCAAAAAACAAATAAGTGATGGCGTTATAAGTCAGTATAGATGACTGACCAACTGTCATACCCCCCGCTTAATATTGCTTCTTCTTTAGTTGCGACCCTCCGTGGTTGCGACCAACGGTGATCGAGGAAGGACGTGCCGCTTTGCGTAATATTTCGAGTTGTAGTAGTATTGCTGATTCAGGTATGGAAAATTTAAAGTATTATTTTGAATTATTACGTTTTTGCTGATTTAAACTTTAATATGAAATGGGTGTATTTAATGTTAATACACTCTTACTGATTAATGCAAGCAATATTTCAAATAATATTTTTATTTACGACATTATTATTGGTTTAGTTATTCATTTTAGACATGATACAGTATTGCTGATGCATGACGATTGCACACCTTTTAATGTTTAATTTGTTAGTATTAAAAGAAAAGCCCAATTGTTTATCATAGTATTTATCACGGTGTATTGGAATATGTTATTGTTAAATTAGGAAAATGTTTACTAAATATTTTATCTCGTTAATTTAGAGTTACTACACTCTATGTGACACGTGTGCTTTGTATGTATTTTGCTAACAAGAACTTGATTAATTTGCAGAATCACTATACATCGTGGGCGATTACTTATTGGTATGGCAATAAAAACGAGCGGCGAAAACCAGGACAAAGGACGAACCTGTTGAAGAATGTACACATCCCTCAAATTTATTACCTTCATTTTGTCAAAATCGGACAAAAATAACAATAACTGTTTAATAAAAACTAGTTATAGGAAAAGACTGTTATTTTTTATTTTGTAAGGACTTAGAAAATATTATTAGTATCTAGAAAGACTGTTTTATTTTTGTTTGGTTTTGTTTTGGGATTTTTATTCTGTTGATTATTTGATTAAGTTTACATTTAATGCTTCAACTACTTTATAAGAATAATTAGTGATAATCATTATCTGTCGGAAAAGACTGTTTTTTATGTTTCGTAAGGACTTACTAAGTTTAGAAATAAATAGATATTTATTTTTATATTTGTATGTATCTAGGAACTGTTTTGTTTAAGAAACTTTATTTTGTAATCACATAAACAAAATATTTCACTATTTTGTATTATTTCAAACATTGTATGTTTTGTTCTAATTCAGTTTATTGCGAAATTATAATTGTTTCTTATAAAACTTTATTTGTTTTTATTTACTAATACCCTAACTCGGAGAAAATGTTCAAGTTATACGTAAATATAATACCAAAAACAATTCTTAGAGTTGTTGTAACTCTAAAATGTATATTTAAAATATACCAAAAAAGCTATATTCAAATAGTAGTAACCCCAAATATTTCTAAAATAACTACACAACTAAAAATAATATTTCATATTGAACAGTTTGTTCGATATTATACCGTATCAACTCAAAAAATGTGAATAACTTTAGTCCCCGTAATTTTTAAAATTATTGGTATATATATAATTTCTTTAAATTCTGTAATAAAACACATAAAGAATGTTTTTTTTTATAATCTATAATAAAAAGTGAATAATCAGTTTTTCCTTGATTCTGAAAAACAATCAATTTTGAGTTACGACGCTGTTGTAATATTAGTGCGATATAATGGTGTCGATTCTGGCGTGATTCTCTAAACTTAAAACTAAATTTAACATCAGTCTCTCCTTTTCATTCTGTATAGAGAATGACAAGGATAGTGTTGTCAAATTTAAGTTTAGATTTAGAGAATCGTGCCAGTATCGACACCATTGTACTCGTATTCTGAAAAAACTCCAAATATAAAGCTAAAAACCCTACATACTAATTCGATTATTCCCCACAGGACGTGCGAGAGGGACCAGAATGTCTTGTCCTTATTTTAATATGTTTCTTTATTGAGAAATTCAAAAAGTATATACATTTTATTTTACCTTTTAAAAATTCCACTTTTTGTGCGAAGGGTCAAAACAAAGATTTTTTTTATTTTATATAGAAAATATAAGAATTTGGACACATTATCGAGTAAGTACATTTTTAAAAACTTATTGGGTATAACTTTCATGCCGGTACTTCACTTGGCTACTCGTGTTTGCTATTTGCAAACTTGACATTATTCTATTCATTTCATTACATTACTCAGGCATGATAAGCTCAAGTTTATAAACTGCAAATACGAATAGCCAGTGCCGGTATTACAATGTAATACTGACCGTAGCAAATGTGCCATAAAACATGGACTTCTCGTACTGTAAGCCGGCGCGTAGTGTGGTCTCGTATGCCTGATTGACAGATTGCTTGGCCATCTTCACGATCAGGGGCGAGTGGGTGCCGATCCTCTCAGCTAGTTTGATAGTCTCTTCAAGAAGTTTCTCCACTGGGAACACTCGGCTGACCAGACCTATACAGTAAAGATAATATGCTATTCAGATAGTTTAATTTTAAGCGGCCGTCATAGCTTATTTATACTTAGATGATATCAGCAAGCATTTCTATGAAAAAAGATATAAAGTTGATAATAAATAAAGCATGTAGCATTAAGGTGGTAATTGTTAGACAATGCTAGACTGGGAGCGATAGAAAACATAGAATGCGCTAACTGTGAGTCCAAACTTCCCTGCGCAGACAAGTGTCAAAAATTTACTTCGCCTTTAACGTATCACATCAATGATCTAAGTCTATGCAAATTAGATAAATAGCCATCTTCTCAGCTTCTCGTCTGTCTATGAAGTGGCCTTTGATTATTTACTCCTAGATAGAGCGTGGCAGCGCTGATGACGTTGAAAAAAATATTAGTTGGCTAATATATTTTTTTGCTTGATTAAGTCGTTTCCCGTCACTTAGTGTCCAATGTAACGCTGAGCGGTATGCACGTCAATTACAGAGTTTAGTATTGAAATTATCGCTTATGCCAAGCTACGTGATAAAAGTTTGCCGAAATTATAAAGGACGCGTAAAAACAACAATCATCCATCGGTAAGTAACTTATTATTGACCTTAAATAAATAAAACTATATCATCATATTAGTTAAAAAAAATATGACTCCATCTTGACATTTTCAAAGTGATGTCAGTGTCTCATTATAAAATTCCCTAATAGTAACAATGGCGTACTCAAAATGTTTACCGATTGCAGCAGTGCGATGGAGAATTAATTAAGTTTACCCACTTTTTTGTGGAATTTGGTTTAGCCTGGTATGTTACGTATGCGCACGAGACAAAAATAATGACATGTCGCGAGTGCAAGATACAAGATCAGCGTGTTTTGTTTTGCGTGTCACAATGCTCACAATATATAAAATCTGGTCTGTTTTTATCGCAGTGTTTACTAGGTGACGCACTATCTAGAGAAATAAATAATCAAAGAAAGTTGCCAGTGAGCACTATCTCCTTAGTCTTGGACTTGCCTATGTATCGCGGCAGGCGCATAAGTATCCCATCTACATAGACGGAAAGACGCTATAGTATTGCTATCCGTTACTCGTAGCAAACATATACGATTCAAAGTAAATACATACCCGGAGCTAAGAGGATGAGCTCGATGGCGCAAGTGATTAGCGCGTTTAGCTGCGATTGTTGAAGTTGAGCAACTTATACATTGGTCGGTCACTGGATGGGTGACCAAAAGTTTACTATCTCGAGCTTCTTCGTGCTTCGGAAGGCACGTTAAGCCGTTTTCCCGGTTGCATCTGCAGTCGTTAGCACCCAATCAACCAATCTTCACTGGGCCTGCATGGTGGGTCATGGCTTAGTCTCCCTATTCCATCCATTGTAAAGGCCTGTGCCCCCGCATTGGGGACATTAATAGGTTGATGATGATGACATTAACAATCAAAAATAAACATATGAAAAAATCTCTAACATCCAATTATAATTTAACTATTAGTGTTGTTCTTCTGAGAAGCGCATCCTCTCTCCTAATAACCAATTGCGTGCCCGACGGGGTCCATAATGCTCATATTTATATAAGTACCTACCACCCACTGTACACATTATGGTTGCAAAAATGATTTGAGTTTGACATACCCATTTTCTCAGCTTCTTGTGCGTCTATAAAGTTGCCAGTGAGCACTATCTCCATAGCCTTGGACTTGCCAACGTATCGCGGCAGGCGCTGGGTGCCGCCCGCGCCGGGGATAGTGCCGATATTGATCTCGGGCTGCCCGAACTTGGCCTTCTCGCCCGCGTAGATTATGTCGCATAACATGGCTAATTCGCAACCACCACCAAGCTGTGGCGATAATAAAACCGTGTGTTGTAATATAAACGTGATTACAGATTGTCTATCCTATAAATGGACTTGTATCAGTAGTTCGGTTGTTGAGGATGAGAATCAACCTAAGTACTGAGACGGAAAAGTCTCTTCAGGCGGCCTACCGCCTATCGGGATGGCTATGGCTGTAGTTTATGATTTCATTTGACGACCTCCGTGGCCGAGTGGTTTGTACGCCGGGTTTCATGGTGTCGCCGACTCGAGAGGTCCCGGGTTTCGAATCCCGGTGGGGGTAGATGATTGTGTGATGAATACGAGCATTTTTACTCCAGTCATGGATGTTTAATATGTATTTCTATATAAATATAGTTATATATGTAATTATTAATAAATATACTTATATATGTATATAGTATTTTCAAACGCGATAAAGGTTCGCTCTTTTAATAACAACAATATTAAATTAAATGAGCGTAAGGTATTTGAAAACCTTCGGCAGTCAGAAATAACAAAATGCAATTATAAGCTATAGCTATCTATAACCATAGCAATTACTATAGGCGGATGGCCCCCCGTTCGGTCGATCGGACTAAACAACTGATACAAGGTGCCGTCATCGGACAAACTATGCTCAAGCGCCATCGATCAATCTTGGGAGATCGAATCAAACGCCTGTAAAAGAAAGGGAGCACTTACACTATAACATCCTACGGCCGCCATTATCCGCTGTGGTCAAATGATAGTTTTGTATATCAGTAACTTGTTGTCTATTGACAATTTGCTGTTACGGCCCAATATAGTAAAGTTCCTCTCTTTGTTTCTTTATAATATGTTCTTTCCAGGTAAGGCGCCTATCTATGTGTAACCTTAAGTAGCGTATACAGTTTTGATGAGGAATTGATTGATGATTAAGTAGTTTTTTTATCACATATGTTTATTATACTTTCATTGAGATCCATGACAAATAGGGTGAAGCCAAACGAGCGTAATTTTGTGAGTTGTGAGTCGCTTATTTTCGGTCACTTATTTTACGTTCAACTGAATTTCTGTTGAGCTGCCATACGAACGTAATTTATTCAGTTACTATTGATCGTTAGTACGGGGTGTTCGTGTCGTCGAGTGCAATGGATCCATTAAAAATATTGTGTATTTACGAAGCATATTCAGAAGATGAGGCCAGAAAAAGAAACTGGGTAAACCCACTGAATAGTCAGAGGCTGATATATGGACAGTTCCATACTTTATATGAACGTTTATGTGCAAATCCAGATATGTTTGAAAAGTACTATCATATGCCATTACGTGTTTTTCAAGAATTATTACACCACCCAACTTGTAACAATCTGTTGCTTCCCCACTCCCCTTCCTTGCCCTACCCTCACCCCGACCGAAATTCGGACGAGCTTATGCGCATTGAGTCGGCAGACAACTCATTTTGCGTTGTCGTGTGGCACCAACTGCCTTTTTGTATGAAACCGAATGCAGCAGAATTTCTGCGACCGAAATTCTGCGACTCACCACTCACAAAATTACGCTCGTTTGGCCTCACCCATAGTCAACGCTACACCCGCTCAATTTGCGCCCGCGCCGTGTGTTGTTGTTCATATGAGACCAAGAGAATAGACCTGTCGTACTCCCGTCCTGACCTGCGCCCGCCTTATGTTTTGGGCTTAAAACAGTGTTAGGGTAAATATCAGACCCAGTAACACATTGAAAAAACTCTTATTGTAATCTTAGATTAAAACAAAAAGGGTACCTCACAAAAGTGATCCGCATGAATTGTGGTCCACGACCCTAATCGCTTTAGTCACAACTTGACATGCAAACGACACGTACATGTGAACGCCAAAAAGAAATATTGCTAATATTTTGTGTTTATATAATAAAACAATGCTAAGTGTGTTTTTGAAAAGTGCTCAAATTGCTCAAGAACTAAAAATAAAACCCACGGCATTACTTTTCATTCGTAAGTACTATAAAATATATTTTTTCATAAAAATAGCTGTTTGTTTTGAATCTTATTCGGTAGTGACGTCGAGTACTGGTCGCGTGATTGGTCGGTAGTGCAGTGACGCGGATCTCGCCGTCTCGTTCGCGCTGCCGTTGAAACTTAACGTGCTGTTTCGTTCGAGTTGGTAATGCAGTGACGCGGATCTCGCCGTCCCGTTCGCACCGCCGTGGGCTCAGTTTTTGTTTGATGCAAGTATGAGCGTACCGTATCTACCCTTTTTGTTTTAATCTAAGATTGTAATCTGATATTGCCATTACTAAACAGATTGCTTACAGCGAATCCATTCACGGCAGCGATGATTGGTTTGCCGCAATTGCTGATGTCCTCCCACTCTTGGAGGAAGTGTTGCCTTTGATTGGAACTGTATGTATTGTTCTGCATTTCCTTAATGTCTGCACCGGCTGCAAAAGCTTTCTCATTGCCTGGAATAAATAGAGCGTTAGGCTAATTTAAAAGTCTGTGGCGACTGGATTCCAAGAATGCTGACTTGATATAAGCGTCGACGCGTGGTCCGCGGTGACGCGAGCCAGTCGCACATAACCACTAAGAATGATAAACTTCTATAGAAGTCACTTAGATCATGCAGCAGATAGTCAAAGTCTACTGAATAAATAGTTACATAAAGCTAAAAAAAGGGATAAAACAAAGTTAGGATGGAATACAGAATCGTTTGAGGCATTTGAACAATGTAAAAAAAGTTTAGGTAACGCAAGCATGTTATCATATCCAGAACCGCAAAGTAAGTTAGCCTTAATGTGTGACGCTTCGAATACAGGGGTAAGCGCTGTATTACAACAAAAGGTTGCTAACGACTGGAAGCCATTAGGTTATTTTTCAAAGGGACTTACTACTACCCATAAGAAATATAGTACGTACGATAGAGATAGTTGGATAGTTGGCAGTTTATTTAAGTATAATACATTTTAGAAATATAATTGAAGGTAGGGATTTAACGATATTTACGGACCATAAGCCATTGACATACGCGTTTAGTAAAATCGGTTCAGATCGATAAACACCGAGACGTACGCGACAATTACTGTACATTAGCGAGTTAACAAGCGACATACAGTCGCACATAACCAGCGATCCCGTCAGGTTCATTCTTAAGCCATGGTAATAGTACACATAACAGTTAGAAAATAGACATTATATTTTGGAGTCAGAGTAATTTAGAACGATCTTGGTGAAGTGAATAAACAGTCAGTGATTAATCATAACACCTTTTATTTAACGTTCACATTAGGCACCCTTAACCCAGCGTACTCACATAGATCCCCAGACATAAACCTAAAAGTCATAGAGCTCTTAAATATTCTGGGTTTAACATTTTATAATGGAAACTTAATACATTTAAATTCACATTTTATTTCCAAGGTTAGTAAAATTACAAAGATAATGGTGTCGATTCTGGCAGGATTCTCTAAACTTAAAACTAAATTTGACATCAGTCTGTCCTTTTCAGTCTGTTTATAGAATGACAGAGATACACTGTTGTCAAATTTAAGTTTAGCTTTAGAGAATCATGCCAGAATCGACACCATTGGCTACATATCACCCAACTTGGTGCTAATTAAAATTGTTACGCTTATGAGACTGTTATTTTTTATGTATATAAATTCGATTTTTTACTAACCCGTAATTATAATAGCTGCAATTGTGCTATCACTATCAAAATCCTTTACTGCTTTGCCGAGTTCCTGGAAAAGGGGCTTGCAAAGCGCATTCAGTGCTTTAGGCCTGTACAACTGGATAAGGCCTACATTCTTCTTGGCCCCAACAACATCAATCTTGATGTTTTCATATGAGGGTGCTGAAAAGTATTTAGACTTATGTTAAATGTTAACTTTTAAACCTTAGATTCATAGGGAAATAAAAGTTGAAGGAGATGAAAAAGGGAGAAAAAAAATCATCAATCAATCATCAACAGCCTATTAATTTCCCCACTGCTGAGGCACAGGCCTTCCCTATGGATGGAATAGGGAGATTGGGCCATGACCCACCACGCGGGCCCAGTGCGGATTGGCGGGTGCTAACGACTGCAGATGCAGCCGGGGCCAACGGCTTAACGTGCCTTCCGAAGCACGGAGGAACTCGAGATAATAAATTTTTGGTCACCCATCCAATGACCGACCACTGCGAAAGTTGCTTAACTTCAACGATCGCATGCGTACGCGCAAACCACTTGCGCCATCGAGCTCCTCGAAAAAAAAATACTTTGCAAGTATAGTAATATAAAGAACAATCTAAAAAAGGTGCAACCAGCCTGAAAGCCAAATCTTGTACTGAGAAACCAGTGCACTCAAACCTTTTCCTTTTTTTTTATTACGCAGGTAAAACCTTTATTTACAGACGTTGCCGCCCTTAAGGGGCACACCAACGAACGGACCTTACACCTAGCCTCTCGTAAGTCTCACGGGTGCGAAACGGAGAAGCCGTTAAGCAGTCCGCGCGGCTTACGAGCACTTACGGCATACTATCCGCTAAAAACATCCTGCAAATACCCTCTACGCTGTTTAAGTGCGGAACCGCGAGATCCCCGTTGAGGGACTTCACCGCGTCTCTGCACCCAACAGCCTCCCAGCCTAGCCGGGGCTCCACGGCAGGCATCACCCGGGGTATTTCGGGAGATCCCGCAGACGTGCGCGGGCGGTCCGCGCTAGTAGCTAAGTGCGCGGATGGGATAGCCGGGTGATTCTGTGCCAGACTTCAACCCCTCTAGTTATGAAATGGTACTTCCATTTCTCCTAACTTATTTTCTATTCTTTATACCCATAATAAGGTTAACAATTGTATGAACAGGTGGCAAATTCGACGAACTATCCAAAAGCATTCATTTCCTCATTGCCAAATAAGCCCGCCCATATGGAGGTTTGCTAAATAGAGTGCTGTAATGTTAGTGCATTACTTTGTTTGCATATTGTTGTCATTTAATTTTATCAAAGATCTAACCACTGGCACTGCTAAAGACTTTGGCCATGGGTCAAAATTCAAATATTAATGATTTTAAGCTCAATGATCCTTAAATTAAGATCCATTATAACTTTTTTAGAAATTGAGTAATTTTACATTTTGTTAAAAATTCATGTGTGGCTGACTGTACATTAAAAATATTTGTACTCTGGAACTATGATAATGTTGTATATCAGTTTACCAACTTTACATGGGTCCATGAGATAAGATAAAGTTCTTATCAAGTTTTAAAGTTATAAATGGCAACATGTAATTGGCATGGCAACAAACAATATTTAGTAAAACAAATGAAGTTCAGGGTTGTAACGTCATATTTACGAGAATACTTCAATAAATAAATATTTGAAAGTTTGACATCCATCACTTGAGGGTTTTCTCTATGTATGTCTTAACCATAAAATAAAAATAATTCTTTAAAAATTAGTTTTACTTAGAACTGAAACTCAATTTTTTTTTCATCAAACCCTTAAAGGTCTTCAAAAATGATATTGAGGATTCTAATATTTCTTTTTTCTAAGCTGAATAGTTTACGCGAGAGACACTTCCAGAGTGGTAAAATGTCCCCCCCCCATCCCTTCGTAACTTCTAAAATAAGAGAATCATAAAACTAAAATAATATATGAAGTACATTACGATGCAAACTTCCACCGAAAATTGGTTTGAACGAGATCTAGTAAGTAGTTTTTTCAATATGTCATAAACTGTAAACTGCTATTTACCTTTCATTCAATCAACTCAAATATAAAAGTACAACATTTAATTTCATAACATAAACATAAAAAAATAATTATTCAATGAATAAAAAATAAATATTAGGGGTGGACAACCCTTATAAGTTAGGGGTATAAAAATAGAAAGCAGCTGATTCTCAGACCTACTGAATATGTATATAAAATTTCATAAAAATTGATCAAGCCGTTTCAGAGGAGTATGGTAACTAACTTAGTGTAGGACCCCCTGAGACAAGATGGGATGATGACATTTGTAGGCTGGCTGGAGTGGGCTAGATGAGAGAGGCAGAAAATCCAGAACAGTGGCGTGCATTAGGGGAGACCTATGTCCAGCAGTAGACGAGCTTGTGTTGATGGTGACACATGAATTGATATAAAAGACTAGCTGACCCAGCGAACTTCCTACTGCCATAAAATAGGGGTTGATGTTAGAAGGGTTAAAATTTAGAGTGGTATGTATTTTTAAATGCCAAATCATAAATATATATATATATATAATGGGTATTTGAAAGGTACTGGGTACTTCCATAGTACTTTTGTAAAAACATGGCTATAAACAATTAACAATTTACAAATAGTTAAAACAAAGAGCTTTAAGATAAGTGGCACCAGATTAAGTGTGAGTGGAGTCCAGTCTTTTAGGTAGTAATATGAGCATGAGTTTGGGCTGCCCTCTTCCTAGATTCATCCTAGTTTAGAGGGTGTTCTGGAGTGGTTTACAAAAACTGCCGGATAAAGCCTGGTAACTTCTTTTTGGAGAGCAAAGAGAAATTGCACTATCTATCTTAACGCATGGACTCCACTGTCACTTAACATAAGGTGGGGTTGGTCGATCTATTTATAAAAAAAAGAAGAGTATAATTTTATTTAAGCAGTTTGTATACTGAAAATTATCACAAGCTGGAATTATTGTTCTAAAAGTTTTATGAGGTTATAGAAAGGTGTTTGTTACCGGTTTAACTGAACTATTCTACTATACTAAGTGAATAACAAGATCCTTTTAGAAAAAAAGCTGTAAAAAAATATCTTCAACTTAAAAAAAAATATAGGTTAATTGAGCACTAATAGATGAACTTAAGGAGATTTAAAGGTTAATTATTATTCAAACTTACCAACACTGTAAAACTTCACGAAACCAGTATTTGAGATAGTTGCAGCACGACCGCATAAGTTTTTCCCGAGAAATAGACGAGAAAGAGAACTAGCAGTAGCCATTTTAGATACCTAACAAAATTTCAGTACAACACAATTATTAAAAAGTGCTCGAAGCATATATTTTAGTAGTTCAATGAATGTTGAACTTTGATATCGCGTTATGCTGCACGAGATTTTTTGATAAGAAAACACAAACAACTTTGTTCGGTATTGCAAGCTTTAGGAATTTCTCCCCATATAATCTGATAGTATTTTAGGGGTAAACAAATAATATACAAAATTAATTAAATAAGTAAACAAATAATATAAAGAATCTCCGGGCTATGAAAGGCTACCACAATAGACTGACCTTGACGACCTACAACGGACGCACGCTACAGCTCGCATCTGGCGCAACTCGAGGTGGAACTTGGGAAGATAAGGTGGCACATTTTAGGGTTAGAGGGTAAGTCTGAAGAGAGGGGGAGGACACCATAACGCTCGAATCGGGCCACCTAATGTACTTCCACGGGGGGACCAACAGTCCCAAGGTGGCGTTGGGTTTTTGGTAAATAAGTCCCTTGCCGATAACGTTGTGAAAATGTCCAGCGTGTCGAACAGTGTACCTTATTATAAAGCTCACCGAGAGGTATAGCCTCAAGGTGGTGCAAGTGTACGCACCGACCTCGACACACTCTGAAATGGAGGATATGTTCGATGATATATCGAGGGCCCTGCACTCCACTACTAAGACCCACTACAACGTTGTTATTGGGGACTTCAACGCTAATGTGGGAGCACAGAATTGCAGCGAATCAGTAGTAGGATCCCATGGATTTGGAAGCAGAAATCATAGGGGGCAAATGCTCGTCAACTTCCTCGAACAGGAGGGGCTCTTCTTGATGAACTCTTTCTTCAAGAAACAGCCCCAAAGGAAGTGAACGTAGATACTATAACTAAAAATGAGATCGATTTCATCGTGATGGACATATTCAGAGACGTATCCGTGATCAACAGGTTCAATACCGGTAGTGATCACCGACTCGTACGGGGCTCTTTGAATATCAACTTTAAGGCCAAGCGCGTCCGTTTGATGAAATCCAGGCTCCAACCTATTCTGCTCCAATCTATAGCAGGATCTGAAACGTTCCAGTCAAATCTGGAGAACCGATTTGCTGTCGTGGAAACCATATCAGTCGTAAACCAAAACCTCGAATATGTGGTTAGGATCTTCAGGGAAGAGGGTACGAGATTATGTGCAACGCAGCGTAAGGGCAGGAAGTCAAAGCTTTCGGAAGAGACTTAAGGGCTAACGAAGGAACGACGTGAAAATCCACCCGTCAGTTCGTCGGCATAGCGGACTCTAAACCAAGAGATCACGTACGACACGACCTCCGGTGCTCCAATACTCTCTCGATCGAGAGAGCGATCGAGCAGAATCGATGATCCAAAGTGTTCGTACAATCTCTTGGAAGAAGCCATCTGACGAAGTTGACCACAACAAGTGGGGAAGTTGTTGCTTCAAAGCCGGCAGTCCTTTCGGAAGTGGAAGACTTCTACAGCCAGTTGTACGCATCACATGCATCTCGACCCGATCCCGGAAATGAGGATTCTAGAGCCACATTAACACGCCACTTCACCGAAGACCTGCCAGAAGTCAGTATTGGCGAAATCGAGATTGCTCTTGGACAGCTTAAAAATGGAAAAGCCCCTGGAGAGGATGGTGTTACAACAGAACTCTTGAAGGCAGGAGGTAAACCCGTACTGAGGGAGCTCCAAAAGCTTTTCAACACTGCCCTGTTCGAAGGGAGAACTCCGGAGGTGTGGAGTAGGAGTGTGGTCGTCTTGTTCTTTAAAAAGGGGGTCAAGATCCTACTTAAGAACTATCGACCCATATCCCTTCTGTGCCACGTTTATAAGCTGTTCTCAAGAGTGATCGACCCGTCTTGCGCGAAGACTTATGACTTCCAACCTCCGAAATAGGCTGGGTTTCGGAGCGGATACGGCACCATAGACCACATCCACACAGTACGGCAGATTATACAGAAGACTGAAGAGAGAGAAGATTGTGATGAAGTACAGAATCAGCAAACAAGTCCCATACCATTGCATCGTGGAGTGAGACAAAGGGGCCGTTATTTCCCCGAAATTGTTCACTAATGCAATGGAGGATATGTTCAAGACGCTAAACTGGAAAGGACACGGCATCAACATAAATGGCGAACGCATCTCTCACTTGCGATTTGCAGACGACATCGTCATCATGGCGGAAACCCGGCAGGACCTACAAAAAATGCTGAATGACCTGGCTGACTCTTCTATACGCATCGGACTACGGATGAACTTGGATAAAACCAAGGTCATGTTCAATGAACATGTTCTACCGGAACCGATTGCAATACACGGCGCCGTTCTCGAAGTTGTTTTAAAATATGTGTACCTCGGGCAGACATTGCAGTTAGGTAGAAACAACTTCGAGGTCGAGGTGAATAGAAGAATTCAGCTAGGTTGGGCAGCGTTTGGGAAGCTAGGTCAAGTCCTGACATCGTCGATCCCACAGTGCCTAAAGACGAAAGTCTTCAATCAGTGCGTCCTACCTGTCATGACATACGGAGCCGAGACATGGACACTGACGGTACGGCTAGTCCACAAGTTCAAAGTCACTCAACGCGCTATGGAAAGGGCTATGCTCGGCGTTTCTCTGAAGGATCGCATCAGAAATGAGGTTACCCGACAGAGAACCAGAGTTATCGACATAGCCCACCGGATTAGCAAGTTGAAGTGGCAGTGGGCTGGCCATATTTGCCGAAGAACCAATAACCGCTGTGGTAGACGAGTTCTGGAGTGGAGACCGCGTCTAAGCAGACGTAGTGTAGGACGTCCTCAGGCACATGGAAGTGACGATTTGCGCAAGGTGGCTGGCAGAAGCTGGATGCGAGTAGCCCAAGATCGATCTGAGTGGCGTGCAATTGGAGAGGCCTATGTCCAGCAATGGACTAGGATAGGCTGTTGATGATTTAATGTGATGAAAATTTTAAGCAAAAAATACAACTGTGTGGCTACTTTTTTTACGGGAAAATTTTCCTAAAAGTGGGGAAAATTTTCATGCATTTGTGACTTAGTAAGACAAGATTTCGAAACTTTTAAAGGTTCCGTATTCCAAACGAAAAACAAACAGAACCCATATTATCCATATAAAATTACTTTGTCTCCTTTTTATGATTACTGTTTTTTTTTGTTTTCGATACTGTAGATGAGAAAACAATTGGAACCCGTCATGCTAATACTGTGTGCAGTGCACATTTTATGACGTAGATTTTCTAATTACAGCTAAGAGGCTACGTTGTTTGGTTCCCTACGTCATCTGCGTGATTTATTTTATATAGAAAATTCTCGTGTCACAATGTTAGTTACCATACTCCTCCCGGCTTGACCGATTTTTTGAAATTTTATATGCATATTCAGCAGGTCTGAGAATCGGCTATTATCTTTTTTTCATACCCCTAAGTGATAAGGGTTGTCCACCCCTTTTTTTGCGCAAACAAAACCTCTATTTACTGATTACGATTACGGGATTCTTCCGCGTTAGGGTTGTCCACCCCTAAATTTTAGTTTTTTTTGGACATTTTTTTTTGTAATGTGGCATTAAAAATACATACAACCTTAAATTTTCACCCTTCTACCACCAGTCCATATTTTTATGGCGGTACGAAGTGCGCTGGGTCAGCTAGTCTTATATATAAAATTCTCGTATCATAATTACCATACTCTTCCGAAACGGCCTGACCACTTTTTGTTAAATTTTATATGCATATTTCGTGGGTCTGAGAATCAGCTACTATCTATTTTTCATATCGTTAAGTGATAATTGTTGTCCACCTGTAACGTAGTGTTCTGAAACCTACAATGCGCCTTGGCGCCAAAATTCAAACTTTTGGGTATTATAACGTAGTGTTCAAATATGGGTTAGGAGGAATGTTATCCCAGGAAATTGATAGAACACTACGTTACACACCCCTAATTTTTTTGATAATATTTTTTTTTCTAATGTGGTATTAAAAAGTACATATAGCCCTAAATTTTCTCTTCTACCACCTGCCCCTATTTTTATGGCGGTACGAAGTTGGCTGGTTCAGCTAGTTAATCTATGGAATACTAGCTGAATCAGTGAACTGCGTACCGCCCAAAAGTAATAATTTGCAATAAAATAATATTGCCACTATAAATTGAGATATAAGCTATCGCATCTTTCAAGTTCGATCAAACTGCACACTGTGTGCTAAGACTAAAATCGGTTAAGTAGTTTAGGAATTCATCCTGGAAAAACAACGTGACGCGTAATTTATATATATTATGTTTTTTTTTCGAAAACAAACCGAATCTGTCAAGGTTTTAGGCAGGACAGGTTTTTGTTTCGCTGACCGGGCGAATGCACTAACCCCTAGCATTTGTGGTGGTTCCTACAGTAAAAATAATGTTGATAACAAGTTCCCAATTAGCCCTAATTGCACTGATTATTTATTTATTAACCTCATACTTGATATTAAGAAATTTATTTACATTTAATATGTAAACAATTTTCTTTATACGTAGCAAACTGTTTTCTTTTCTATGCTATTCTAGACCAACATAATTTTTCTGAAGTGCAACCGTTTAAATTGCTGAAATATCGGGAGTTCACAAAGAGTAAAACACGTGGTAAATATCCCGTTACTATAATATATATTTGATTCATCATCATCAGCCTATTAATGTCTCCACTGCTGGGGCACAGGCCTTCCGAATGGATGGAATAGGGAGATTGGGCCATGACACACTACACGGGCCCAGTGCGGATTGGTGGGTGCTAACGACTGCAGATGCAGCCGGGACCAACGGCTTATCGTGCCTTCCGAAGCACGGAGCAGCTCGAGATAGTACATTTTTGGTTACCCATCCAATGACCTAACCACCTGCGCCATCGAGCTCCTTTAGTTAATTAATATTAAATAATATATTTTACATGGATTATGGACACATTCACGCTATTCCTGGTAGTAACCGACTGACAACCGAGCAACAAATGAAACAACGCTCGGAAAAAACTTGGTCCCGCCTCGGCTCGGCCACGGCCCGTTGCCTGAATACAGCGCCGGCTCGGTGCCGCTGGGCAATCGTAGTGATACCTTAGACAAAACAAAACATATTTATGCTCGTACAAGTACACTTACTGTATTTACTTTATCTGAATGAATAAACTTCATCACGGCACAACCGTACCTACCTAATTGCTCGGTCGAGGCACGTCTTTGTAAATTACAGGTACGGGATCGGTTCGGTGACCGTGTTAAGGCTGAAGCTCGGCTCGGACTCTACACGGTCTATTGTCATCATCATCATAATAGATTTGTTCGGTACCAAGTTCTCTAGTTGGTACCTATATTTAACTTTAATTTTTATAGTGGTGGCTTTCCCCATCCTTTTGCCAAAAAAAATACTCAGGTATGCTCTAAGAAAAAATATGATTCTTAAAGTTCTCCCCGCAAATTTAATTTCTCCAAGTTCATATTTTTTCCCGAAAATAAGGATAAACACTCCTAATCTAGAAACCCTAAGTACCACAGAGTAGGCAAGTATTCACTCTTTATTATTGATTCATAATTTTTCATATAGTAAAAAATGGTTGCCTGTAAAGTCGGTTTTACGGGCGAAGATTTTACGTGACAACGTCTTTTTCTCGGTAGAATATTTATTGATATGAATATAATTAAATTGCACAATAGGAACAAGGAATTGAATGAAAATAAGAATTGCACAAATTTTAACTATAGAAATATATTTTGTTTACTAAAACATTGTACATGTAAACTTAAACTTAACACGAGAGACTCATCGTAACGTTACCGAGCGTTACACTTTTTCATAAGTGACTCCCAGCCGCAACCTAATTTAAGACGTTGTCACGTCAAAATAACAAACTTATGTTAAGTTTCCATATTTCAAAGATGATGAAGAACAACAAAGAATTACTGAAATTAGTAGAAATCACTGAATAATTAGTATTTATTGCAAATGCAAAAATAAGTAAACCGATAATTACCACTTCAATGCTTTTACGTAATCTGTGAATTCAATTTAGATGCTTGTTTACGGCTGTAAACTGTGTTCTTAATTTAGTTAGTTCGCAATTTCAGAATACCAATTCTCTAAACCTAAACTAAAATTATTTATCTAATTTTAAGTTTAGGTTTAGAGAATGTAACGCCAGAATCGGTCCCATTATTTCCTAGAGGAAGTTTATTTTTATTATTGCACTAATTAGGCACTATTTATTAGCAAAAGTAACAACCTCGAACTCGATGTGGTGTACGCTGGCATGACAGACCCCAAAGAAACGACATTACAGTCTCTAATTTGAGTTGGGATTGTGGGTATTTACCTTTCTGTATCGAGTATAGATTGGAACACCCCTGTGCTGCACAGATTATGTCTGTGGTCAGTGGTGGTGGTCTGTGGTGTATGTGTTTTTGTTTACAAATATTTTACATTTAGTTTAAAAATGTTGTAAGTGTACTTAATTTATTGATCCTTCTTTGAATGAATGAAGTAATTTAAATAGTATTATTACAAAATTCTAAGATATAACAATAGTGAATATTGCTAAATTCCATGGCGAACATAAAGTATTTCTTAATGACTGGTGAACCAGGTTAGAAATATTTATTAGTAAATTGTTTTATTGCAATGAAATCAAGGTAAATTTTTTTTTTATTATTTGTGTTAGGTGTTGGAAAGACAACTTTGACCAAAAAGTTGAATTCACTTCTGAGAAGTGAAGGTATCAAAACTTGCGGATTCTACACAGAAGAAGTGAGGCAGAATAGGATCAGAGAGGGATTCGATGTGGTCACATTGGACGGCCAAAGAGGTCGGTTGGCTCGAGACATGACTGTTATGAGTGGACTTGTTAAATTTAGGGTTGGAAAGTATGCGGTTTTAGTCCAAGAATTTGAAAATGTAGCTTTGCCTGCACTTAAACAGGTAAAACTATTTTTATGCCTTATTAAAATGGCACAAATTTACAGAAATGTACCTACCTATCTATTGTCTGTCATCCATTTTGCTTTATTTATTAACTTTTTATGAAGTGTAAAATTATTTATAGATGATAATTGATACGGAAATAATATAACAACTTGATCAAAGTAAAAAAAATGTAATTTTAATATAGGTATTCAGGAAAATACAATGAAAGATATCAGATTAAGGAACACTGTCAAAAGTCATAGTGCTTATAGTTTATGTAAATCATAGAGATGATGAGGTTGATATACTATCTCTTCACATTATTTCAGCCCAATGAAAGTGGACCTTATTTATTAATCATTGATGAAATTGGTAAAATGGAGTTTTTCAGTCATTCATTCAAAACAGTAGTGCAAGAAATTTTTCGCCCAGATTCCAAATGCATGGTATTAGCTACACTACCATTGAGAAACAGTGACAAACTAATTGAAAATATAAGGAACCATGCCAATGCAAAACTTTGGACTGTAAGTAGTGTTGAAAGATGTGATATTAAAACAAATACTTTTTATAAGTAGTCAAATAATTTAATAAGTTTTTCTAAATGGGCTAGTGAGTCTAATTTTAAATGGCACTCAATATTACATTAAATAATTGATGATACAATAATGGCAATTTAAGTTTAAATATTTGTTACATAATAGTTGTATTAGATTATTATGTTACACAGATGAACATGAAACTAGCAAGAAAATATAAACTGGTGCATAATCTTGAAATGGGGGAGATTTATTTTTAATTAAAATAGTTTCCTTAGTTCTAAGATTTTTATTGTTTTGAACATGCATTGTTATTTATCTTGTTATTTACAATACTTACATTTCAGGTAACAAGAGAAAATAGGAACTGTTTACATGGAAATATTATGGAAGAAGTGTTAACATCTTTCAATAGTAATAGAAAACAAATTTGATTTAAGATTATTTACAGAATTGTCAGGGCATACTGGCATTTCATTACCATAGATAAATGGAGTGAAGCGAGACCATTCATTCATCTATGTTCATTACAATACCTACAGTTTTGTTGATGCAATAATAGAAAAACAATATTCAGTTAATTATTTGTCAATTGCTACAAGATCAATTAGATTCTATAACAATAAATATTTATTGTTTCATTTCACCAAGTCTTTTGTCAATCTTATCGCTCCAAGAAACATGTTATCCAAAAGACTAGTATTTATCCGACTAAACTCAATAGTGGTTAATTCAATAGATTGTTTATTTATAGAATAATATATCAAATCATATGCTTATGTTATGTTATAATAAGTGATTGTTTATGGTTTTAAATAACAGAAATAAAATTGGTATTTAAATTATCATTATTTTATTAATTCTGTCTCAATTTTGCAATTCAATTATTGTAAAATCATTGAACGGGTTATGATGTTTATTTTAATTATGATGTTATTAATAATACTTTGTTATAGTGTGCCAGTGTGTCTGCCATCACCCTCACTCAATTCTAGGTATTTTAAAGGTTTGTCATATTAAGCATGGTTCAGGGAAAAGATCTTGATTCTAACAAAACATTTGCCCAGATCATTTTTATTTTCATAAATATTGACTATTCAAATAATTTTAGGTAACTACTGTGGCAAAGCACTAAATCTTTTTAAAGGAAATTGAGCTAAATTGGAAATTTGAATTTAAAGCCTTATCCATTTTTCTATGTACATGGTTTAACAAAGTATAATGAGATAAAATATCAATCAGCTATTATCATCTGAATAATCATCAAATTGTCCATCAGATTCATACATTACTTGAGGTTTACAGAGTTTTTCATATTTCACTTTTTCAGCTATTGATATAGCATGGATATCCATAGGGCAGAAGTTACCTTCTGCCATTTTTCTTTCCACATAGTAAAGCCAAGGATTGTGCGATGTTGAGGTTATATGTTTGCGGTACCTGGGTACCCAGTAGTCATCAGAGTCCCAGTCTTCAGGTGAACTAGGAGGCTCATGAGAAGGTTGTGGATCTGTGAAATTATTAAAATGGAATGGATTAATTACACCTACTGACATTTCATTAATAAAGAATAGAGTTATTAATACATGTCCTTCACACTACTCAACTCGAGTCAAAGTTATCACTCCTTTTAACTGCTTGTGTTACTGTAATAGCAAACTGGCACTGATTATCAATATACACTGATTGAACTAGAAAGTGCCAGATACCAATTTGCTTAAGAAGATAGTATGAATTTAATCTACTTACAGAAATATTGTAAGTAGCAATTTTTCAATAATTGTTTGTTGACAATAACTAGTGTGTGGCTAGGGGAAATGGGAACAATGTTTGTTAAAATTTAACCTGTCCCTTAAGGTAAAACTTATTTGTTTTTTTTTTTAACTTTTATAGAACTACCTTTTTCACTGTGAGAGTTTAGTAAAAGCTCTTCATAGGCTTCATCATCAGTGTCTTCATAAGATCTCTCACTTTCAGGTCTTTCTACTTCTATTTTCCTGCAAAATGAAAATTGTATGTTATGTAATGTTTGTAGAATAATAATTCATATAATTTATTTGTAATGCTAAAGTAAAATAGTTATGAATGTACAGTCACAAATTATATAATATTATGCAAGAAATGTTTAGGTCAACATCACCCAAGCATAGTTAACAGTTGTGATATTCAAAATATGGGTCACAGTGAATCAACTCAATCTTAAACAAGACAATGGGAGAAACTCTTTGATCTCACATTAGCCGTACTTACTTTCCATTGCATCTTTCTGGTAGACACAAACGAAGTTTATATCTTTTTTCCAAATAATCTAATTCTGTAGGTTCTTCAAAATAGTTTTGAGCAAGGTCTATTTCAGTGACTTGGCCTATTAAGTTAGGAATTTCATAAAGACTATTATCATAGAGATCAAGAATTCTAAGGTTTTTTAATTCCACAATAGTTTCTGGTAACATACACAGTTCATTATTATCAATTTGTAAACAACTAAGATTTTCCAAATTTCCAATTTCATCTGGTAAGTACAAGAGATGGTTAAAAGATAAGACACAAATTTCTAAGTTCTTTATTTTACAAAATTCTGATGGTAAGTTACTTATTTGATTATGAGAAAGATTTATTTCAACCAAATTGCTTAATATGTCTATGTCAGTCTTTATGGTGTATAATTGAACATTACTCAGATTCAGCTTCTCTATATGAACAATCTTTTCAAATTCCTCACATGGCACTTCTGTCATCCTATTCACGGAAAATAAACTTAAACAAGAAGAGCCTAGTTCTAGGACACTTGCCTTAGGAAATGTGGATAATAGCTTCATGTGGTGGGTAAGGCAGCAGTTATTAATCTTAATATTGATCAACTGTGTTGTATAACCAAGAAGTTCCTCAAAGTATTCTTTTTCTAAAGACTTTGTTAAGTTAACATTGAAACTAAGATCAATGTCCATCAGTTTTCTAGGAGCCTGTGTCCATACCCAGTAAGGTGGCCCATTTAAATTATTATGAGACAGATTAAGTTTTTCGATGGTGTGGCAAAATTTAGGGCTGTCGTCAAAATATTGAAGAGCATTGTATGACATCTCCAAGTTCTTTAGGTGTTCAAGATTTTGCAAACATTTAGGAACTTCAGTTAGCTGATTATGGGAAATGTTTAAATCGACGAGGTTTGGTGGCAAATTCATATTCTCTTCTAGTGTATGAATATTCTTATTGCTTAAATCTAGCACTGTAATGTGTTCTGGACAATCTATAACATATGCACTGATCACTTTTGTAATTCCATTGGTGTTGCTTTTTCTGCAACGCGTTTTTTTTCCATGTTGATTTTGGTTAATATCCATTTCACTTTTAATTAATATTTAATTCAAGTTCTATTTTACTTATAAGAATATCTTATTCAGAATTGAAATTTATATGCCATATCTAAATCAAGAAAACGAAATCAAAAATAACTTCAGCATGATTGTTTTCAATTTCAAGTCTGTTTTTTTCTTTTTCTGTTTATGATTCTCCCGTTTTAGGGAAGGCAAAGGGAACAATGCCCATACAGCCTAGTCTTTAGTTAAATTAATCTTCTTTTTCTTTTTACATTAGAATGTTTGTGTGACGCATTCTTATGTTTCTTGGAGTGTTTGGCACGAAATATATCGAGTTGGCTTTTTCGATAAACTTCTGTGATGGAGTCAACACCACAATAAAGTTCTCACGTTCACTTGACCGGAATAGCGTATATTTTAACGATTCTACTAATTCTTCAGTTACGCAGACGGTTGTAACACAAAATCACACCAATTTGTTTTCCCAATATCCACTAAGAATGAATTTAAGAATAATTAAAATAAGACGCCAACCGCACTTGATGAATTCCCGCCAAAAACTCCTTTTTTCTTTTTTTTTAATTTTTTGATTTCGATTCTTTTTTAGTTCTATTCTTCTCTATTGAGAAAGGCAAAGGCATAGCCATGCAGCCATCGTCTTATTTTTGTATTAATCTTCCTTTTTTTTTGACATTAGAATGTGGGTGTGACGCATTCTAATGCTTCTTGGAGTGTTTGGCACAAAATATATCGAGTTGGCTTTTTCGATAAGCTTCTGTGAGGTAGTCAATACTACAATAAAATTCTCACGCCCGCTTGACCGGAATAGCGTATATTTTAAAGATTCCACTAATTCTTCAGTTGCGTAGACAGTTGTAACACAAAATCACACCAATTTTATTTCACAATATCCACTATGAACAAATTTAAGAATAATTAAAATAAGACGCCAACCGCACTCGATGAAATCCCACCAAAAACTCCTTTGATTTAGAATTTCGATGGAATTTTGACAGCTGTCAGTTTTTGATTTTTGTAACATTTTCCCTGTTCATGGAACGCAAAGGGAGCAATACTCATACAAAATAGGTGGCCTTAAGTTTTAGTAATATTCTTGTTTTTTACATTAGAATGTCAGTGTGAAGCATTCTTATGTTTTTTGGAGTATTTGGCACCAAATCTAGTTCTCACGTCCACGTGACAGGAATAGCATGTATTTTTATTCTTCAGTTGGGGTGATGATTGTAACACAAAATCACACCAATTTTATTTCAAAATGGTGTCGATGCCGGCATGATTCTCTTTATCTAAATTTAAATTTCACTGCAGCGTATCCTTGTCATTCCCTATACAGAATGAAAGGGAGAGACTAATGTTAAATTTAGTTTTACGTTTAGAGAATCATGCCAGAATTGAGATAATTATGGCTACATGGACTATACGAATTGAACAATAATTAAAATAAGACGCCTACCGCACTCGATGAAATCGCGCCAAAAACTGTCATTATTTGACACTTAGGTTGCGTTCAATTGGACTGGCAGTTCATTTGACAGATGGTTGTCGCAACTTGAGCGTTATTTCGTTAACAACCAATGACCAACTACCAACCAACCCAGGGGCGACAATCTTTGCGGGGGCCCTTTTTATGCAACTTCGCCGTAAGCAAGTTATGTTTTTCAAGTGTATTTATATTTCTTTGGCACGCTCTGTGGCTTAAACGGTTTGACTGATTTTGGCTTCAGATAGTTAGATTCCTCTTAGTTGTGAGAGTAACTCTCGGTATAGTAACATTATAAAAAATCATATTACGTAGCTCAAATAAAAAAAGATCCTCAAACCGGAAAAGCTCCCGAAGATGCGTCTTCCTATTCACCACTACTGTTTTTTGCCCCTTCTATCAAAGCTTAGGGCAATAGTTTTTAAAGTGATTCAATAATGTAATAGCAGAATTTTAAGTCTTAAGAACCAGACCACCAATTTGGCCTTAGAATATGTCATGGCACGATGAAAGAGGTGCTTAGACTCGCTGCGCGACCTTGTATACTAGGTGCAGCAACGTCGCCCTCACTCTCAACGCACATTATGGGCACTACGGTCCCCAGAATGCGGGTGACCGGTGCAGGAATATTGCCGGGTTTTATCGGGTAGGATGCTGTCATTTCATCTAGCTTGTCAGCTGGGTGAAATGACAGGAAGGAGCCCATGGAGCCCTTTCTAGATGTTTAACGGTGTGCAAGGGTTATAAACATATTTCCCAGACACAAAAAAGGTGAAGAAATCCATACAGGCATTCCTGGATACTTCCCAGATCTTTGATTAAGAATTATCAGTTTTCATCTCCTTTGTTATGGTGGCATTTCACATGACTTTTCCCATAAATTGCCTGAGTATAGCACGAAGCTTTATTGTACAAAATAAAAAACAACTTAGCTTGCTCATAAATTAAAAATATATTTTTTATTTAAGAAATCTAAAATTTAATTAATTATGCAAGAAGAGGATAGATATGATCTAACTTTACAGGGCTCTTGTAGTGGTGCCCACGCGCCACGGAAGTCCTTGGTCCTGTACCTAAATCTTACTTAGACCGTCCTATGAACTTTTGCTTATGATTCAGTAGCCCTAACTAACCTTGGGGTTGCGGCTGATTGAGAGGTGGCAACGCTGGTTATTTTTAATTCTCATTTCATCATTTCCTTTCAGATGACGTAAATTTTATCAAAAAAACATATGGATGCAATTTTCATAAAATTACAATAAATTGAATTAAAGGTGTTTTTACTTACAGCTATTTTTATAGGCAACCGATGGTTCAAAAAAATTCAAAATTCAATATCGTTTATTCAGTCTAGGCTGTTACAAGCACTTGTGAATGTCGAAAAGCTACGCCATCGGTTCGCAAAACTACGGCGGGAGACCTTGTACTGAGAAGAACCGGCAAGAAACTCAGCAAGGGCTGCTTTTTTCTCCCTGTTTTATTTCATACAGTGTCGTCCAATTGAAAGTTGACATCAAACTTGCAAACATGTGTTGAGGTCAAATTCCATCACATAATGTCAAATATGTAACAATCAATGAATTTACTAACAATAAGTGCAAAGATAAGTCCCAAAATAGCAAGAAACAATTTTCAAAATAAAATGAACAAGTATATGAAAGGGAGTAAGTGCAAGGTTCTCTTCAAAACTCTTTCTATAGCTGGGAGCCTTAGTTTTTATATAACTTTTGAAAAATTATCTACAAGTAAAATTACAACCAGGCCGTTTTATCATTCAAATATTGATTGACAGTATAATATCCTTTCTTAAGTAAACAATTCTTAATGTGTATTTTAAATTTATGAGGAGGCAAATCAAGGATATCAATAGGAATCTTATTATAGAAATGTATACCTTGACCCATAAATGATTTATGAACCTTCTGTAACCTGTAATTTGGTATCTTGAGTTTATTTTTATTCCTTGTATTAAAAGAATGTATGTCACTGTATTTTAGATAATAGTTAATATTGCTTCGAACAAAAAGTATGCAATTATAAATGAATTGAGAAGCAACAGTCAAAATCCCGATTTCTTTAAAATTTTCTCTAAGAGATGTTTTAGAACTAAGTTGATAAATAGCCCTTATAGCTCTTTTTTGCAAGATAAATATAGTTTCAATATCGGCTGCTGATCCCCAGAGAATAATACCATAGGATACAATACTATGAAAGTAACTAAAGTATACAGTTCTAGCAGTTGCTACATCAGTAAGTTGTCTTATTTTACGTATGGCATAGGCTGCTGAACTAAGTTTACCAGCTAGCAGAGAAATATGAGGATACCATTGCAATTTCGAGTCTATGGTTATACCTAAGAATATCGTTGACTCAACTAAATCTAGGTTTTCATTGTTTAGTTTAATTCTAATGGTTTCGCTTCTAACATTAGGTAAAGTGAATTTAATGCATTTGGTTTTATTTGCATTTAATTTTAAGTTATTTACATTAAACCAGTGCAATACTTGTGAGAGAGCATTATTTACATCGTCAAAGTTATTCTTGTATCGGTCAACCTTAAATAATAAAGAAGTATCATCAGCAAACAATACGATCTCACAAAATTTTTCCACAAAAAATGGCAAATCGTTTATGTACAATAAAAATAGAAACGGACCTAAAATCGATCCCTGGGGAACGCCGATTTTCACATAAGATCCAGATGACTTAACACCATTTACCTCTACAGTTTGAACTCTGGAACTGAGATACGATAGTAGCAAGTTTTGGGCTGCGCCTTTGATTCCATAGTGATTTAATTTTAACATCAGCGTCTGGTGCTCAACGCAGTCAAACGCCTTGGATAAGTCACAGAATACCCCAAGAACATTCTGCGACTTCTCCCAGGCTTCCATTATATGTCTTATAAGTGCAACACCCGCATCCGTTGTTGATCTACCCCTAGTAAAGCCAAATTGATTATTATGTAACAGTTTGTTCAAACTGACATGCGATAATAATTGATCTAAAATAATTTTTTCGAAAATTTTACTTAATACCGGTAATATTGATATAGGTCTGTAATTACCGGGATCATCTCTTATGCCGTTTTTGAAGAGAGGGATAACTTTACTATATTTCATAAGGTCTGGAAAATCACCTTGATCAATACACTTATTGAATATATCTGCAAGATAAGGAGCGATAACTGTTATTATACTTTTAGTAATTTTAATAGACATTCCAAACAAATCACACGTATTTTTCTTTTTAAGTGAGTTAAAGCATTTTATAATATCCATAAAATCAACATGTTTAAACGTAAACAGGTTATTACACCGAGGCACACACGTCTCTAGCAAACTCTTAGCACCCGCTGGCGTCGAATTCAAATTAGAAGTAGTAATTAATGGTATATTAACGAAATATTCATTAAAAGTATTGGCAATCTGTTCTTTTGTTTTAATTTGAATATTATCTACTTTAAGTGCGATCCCATCATCGAGGGTTCTTTCTTTACCAGTTTCTCTATTAATAACATTCC